AATTATTTTTGATAAAGTATTATAGTATTTTTAATAAAGTAAAAAACTTATTTTCAATAATATTTAATTATGATAATAATTATTGTTATTATAATGATAATAAAAAAATAAATTTTAAAATATAAAAAATATTTTACATATTATCAGTGATGAATTTTATAATATGTAAATTAATTAAAAACTTAAAAATAAAGTAATCATTATCCATAATTTCTTAAAAATTCTTTTCAAATTACAGTTTTAAAAACGTATCATTGATTAAATTTCATATTTATAAAAAAATAAAAAAAGGTTAAGTATTGTTAGTTTAAAAAATTTAATATAACATTTTATATAATTATTTACCATCAATAGAATTCCATTTGGGTTTAAATGAAATTTCTCCAATTTCTGGATCTGCCCATGGTTTTCCTTTAACAAGTGCAGCGGTGTATTCAACTGGTTTGTATTCTGGGAATTCGACATTCCATGCTACTTTATTTTCTGGTACTTCGAAACGTTTTATATTGCTAGATGGATATAAACCTTGTCTACATTCGTAATGAATCATTCTGATAAAAACATGCCACATAAAAATAATCAATTATTTTTATATTTATCACTATTTTATCATATATTTTATCTATTTTATCATAAAATAAAAAAAATTGATAAATTCAATGATATTATCATGAACAATATATAAAATATTTCTTACTCTGAAAGTTGTCAGTTGTCACAAGCAATATTTTTTCATTACTATATTATACAATTTTAAAGATTTACATTATTTTAATTTAGTGAAATAATAATTGTTAACAAAGGTAAACAAATCAATATACGTGATATAAATATTCAAAAGATAAAATTAAAATTTTTTATCAATTATATTTTTCATTCTAAAGAAATTAAGTATATTTTTTGAAGCTATTTAATTGAAATGATTCTTAGTTTATAAATTGAAAATCATTATTACAAATGATCATTTTAATTCTTGAATTAAAAAAATTATAAAAGAAAATTCAGTGCTGCAAAAAAATGACAATTGTGAATATATAAAAATAATATAAATGTATATAAATAGTACATAAATACAAAATATATATTTCTAAAAAAAAATTACCAACTTTTCATAAAAAATTTTTTTGATACAAAATCTTTAAATTAATCAAAAATTCTAGATAAATTTCGAATAATTTTTAATTTTATAATTTTTAGTCTTAAAAATTTTGCATATTATCTTTTCTTAAATTATTTCCTTTTGATATAAAATTATAAAAATGACAACAATTCAAGTTGAATACCTTTAAGATTAAAATTTACCGTTAAGATTTAAATTTTAAAATTCTAGGAAGAATTTGTGTATATCTTCTTTTGATATAAAATAGAAATTTTTAATATCAAAAATTTTTGTTTACAATTTCGTAATTTAATTTACAATTTTGTAATAAAAAAATATAATTCGAAAAGGAAAAAAAAGTAACAAATGATTTAAAAGGATATAATCTTTTAATAATTTAATATACTTTTTAATTAAATATATGAAATTTATAAAAATTATTTTATATCGAATTTTTTTCGGAAATGACTCTAGATTTTATTCAACAAAACTAATATTAATAAATAAAAAATATTTTAAATAATTAAAGTATGTTTAACATGTTTGAATATGTTAACCTAAAAAACATGCTTAAGATTTTTAACATAAAATAAATTAGCACATTAATAACATATTAAAATATATATTTACATATACATTATAATTTATATAACAAATTAATAATTGAGAAATATATACAATATATAGTTTCTGTTATTTTGTAAACAACTTAATTATTACATATTAAATATACATGCGACAAGATAATTATATATATAATTTTTTAAAAAATGAAATGAAAATAAAAATAAATGAAAAATAATAAATTTATTGCTATGATTTTTCATTAGGTAATAAAATATATAAATAATTAAACATGAATTATAAAATGTTATAAATATTATAAAATATATATTTAAATTATAAAGTTCATATGTGTATATGTATTACAAAGACAATATTGAAAATTAAAATAATTAAAAATGTAAATGAATGATCAATATCAAAATATTTTTAATGTTTATATTGTTCTACTTTTAATTAATTTAGTAGTTTGACAATTTGAAATTTTTCTTTTTATATTGTGTAATTGAAAAAAATATATACAATTTGAATATATTAAATTATAATACAAACAATAGATAATGCTATATTATAAATTTAGTGATTTTATAATTTGGAATATTATGATCAGAAATATTACATATATTTCTATAAATTATTTCATTTTAAATAATTATTATAATTAATTATAATTAATAATAAAATATTTATTTATTATTAAATATTTATTATTTATTATTAAATATATTAATAATATTAACAATAAATATTGTTTTTTCTATTGAATAATAAATATTAAATTAAGTTATTTAAAATTTAAAAATTATTATTTATCATTTATA